TTTTTTTTTTGCCTAAAATGGCTTTGGCTGTTGGGAGTCTTTTGTTGTTGTGCATATATTTTTGGATTGCTTTATCTATCTTGGTGAAGAACATCATTGGGCTTTTGATGGGGATTGAATTGGATTTGTAGATCGCCTTTGGCAGGATGGCCATTTTCACCATATTAATTCTACCTGCCCATGAACATGGGAGGTCTTTCCATTTTCTGATGTCACTTCAATTTTTTTCCTCAGATTTTTATAGTTTTCACTATAGTGGTCTTTCACTTTCTTGATATGTTTATTTCTAATTTTTATTTTAAGGCTATTGCAAATTGAATTGTTTTCCTGATTTCCTTGTCTATCTGCATGTTGTTGGTGTAACTGATTTTTGTGGGTTGATTTTGTATTGTGCTACTTTTTCAAGGTTCTTGGTCAGCTCTTGGAGCTTGGGGATGGAATCTCTAGGTTCCTTTAGATACAGGATCATATCATCTGCAAATAGGGATAGTTTAGTTTGACTTCTTTCCTTATTTGAATTCTTTTGTGTTTTTCTCTTGCCTTGTTGCTCTGGGTAGAAATTCCAGTATTCAAAAGGAGTAGAGAGAGTGGACATCTCTGTTTCTGCCTTTTTTCTGTCTAGAGGAAAGTTTTACATTTCTCATCATTAAGTATGATATTGGTGCTGGGCGCCAGTGACTCAACACCTGTAATCCTAGCTTCTCAGGAGACTGGGATCCAAGGATGGCATTCAAAGCCTGCCTGGGCAGAAAAGTCCCTTGAGACTCTTATCTCCAATTAACCACTCAAATCTGGAAGTGGCACTGTGGCTCAAGTGGTAGAGGGCTAGCCTTGAGCACAAAGAGGCTTAGGGATAGCCCCAGGTCCTGAGTTCAAGCCCCACAACTGACCAAAAAAAGTATGATCTTGGCTGTAGGTCTGTCATATATAGCCTTTACTATTTTGAGGTAGGTTCCTTCTATTTTTAGCTTCTTCAGAGATTTTAACATAAATGTATGTTGAGTTTTTGTCCAAGGCCTTTTCTGCATCTATTGAGATGATCATGTGATTCTTATCTTTGGTTCTGTACATGTGGTGTATTAATTATTTTTTTGTTTTTGTTTTTGGGTCCGGTCGTGGGGCCTGAACTCTGGGCTTGGGCACTGTCCCTCAGCTCTTCAGTTCAAGGCTAGCGCTCTACCACTTGAGCCACAGCGCCACTTCCGACTTTTTTCTTTTTGCTTATTTGGTGCTGAGGAATTGAACCCAGGGCCTCAGGCATGCAAGGCAAGCGCTCTACCACTGAGCCACCTTCCCAGCCCTGTATTAATTATTGGTGCACAATAAATATATAAAACTAGCCTTGCATCTCTGGCATAAATCCAACTTGATCATAATGAATAATGTTTTTGATTAGTTGTTGAATTCTGTTAGCAAATACTTTATTAAGGAGCTTTGCATCTATGTTCATCTGATAGATTGGTCTATAGTTACCTTTTATCATTGGGTACCTACTTCACTATTCTTTCTATTGTAATAAAGGTTCCTCTTTGACTTTGCTGCCTTTAACGGTGTGTCTAGGAGTATTTCTTCTCCGGTCTGTCTCCTTGCAGTTCTGTATGCCTCTGTCAGATGGGTGAGACTCTCTTTGTTGAGGTTGGGGAAGAGTAGTGATTTTTTCATTTCTATTTCATGGAACAGTTTGGGGAGTATTGGTGTTGGCTACTCTTTAAAGGTCCATAGAACTCAGCCATGAATCCATTGAGACCTGGACTTCCTTGTTGGGAGACTATTGCTTCTTTGGTTTCATTGCTTGTTACAGGTCTAAGTGGTTTCTATCTTCTTGCTACAGCAAGAAGGCAGCTCATATGTCTCTAGGAATTTATACATATGGACCAGATTTTTCATTTTATTTTAGTATAGGTTTTGAAAGTAGCACCTCAGAATCTTTTGTATTTCTCAGATGTTGGATGTGATGTTTCTTTTTTTATCTCTAATTTTGTGGATTTGGATCTCTCTCTCTTTCTCTCTTTCTCACACTGTCAAATTGGCTAGGGTTTGTCAATCTTATTGTTTTTCAAAAAACTTGTTTTCTGTTTTGTTGATTCTGTGCATAGTTTTCTTAGTCCCTTACTTCATTGATTTCTGTCCTAATCTAGTAGTTTTGGGTTTGGTGTTTTCCTGTGAAGCGTTACTTGCACCGTGAGGTACTTGAACTGTGCACCCCTTGTTTTCTTTATGTACTTGCTTAGAGCTATGAACTTTCAACACAGCTTTTATTGTATCCCAGAGGTGTTTTTCTTTTTTGATTGTAGAAACTTTCTGATTTTTTTCATTATTTCTTCAGTGACTCACCTGTTATTCAAAAGTGTGTTGTTCAGTCTCCATGTATTTGAGTGTTTTCTGTAGTATCTTTTGCTGTTGAGTTCTAATTTAATTCCATTGTAATCAGATATGGTACAGAGATATCTCAATTCTATTGTATTTACTCAGGCTTCTTGTATGTCTGAGTATATTTTGGAGAAGACTCCATGGGCTGCTGAGAATATGTATTGTCCATTTGGGTTGTTGTGTCATTTAATTCAGAGGCCACTGTTATTCGTTCTCCTACTTTTACTGTGTTGGGGTCTAAGTGTTTTTGTAAGTCAAAGATAAAGAAGGTTTAAGTGCATTCAAAGTTATTCTAAGCTTCTTTCTGTTGTAATAAAGGTCCCTCTTTGATTTTGCTGCCTTTAAAATTAGTTCCTTGTTTTAAAACTGGAGTATATACAGCAGTGTGTCTAGGAGTATTTCTTCGGTCCTTTCTGCTTGCACTTCTGTATGTACTTCTGTCAGATGGGTGAGATTTTCTTTGTTGAAGTGGGGGAAGTTTTCTGTTCCTATTTTGTTGAATAGGTTCTCAATGCCTTTAGTTTTGAATTTTTCTCCCTTTTCTATTCCAATTATGTGTAGATTTGATCTTTTGGCCTAATTTTCTTGTTTTTGAATGTCCTTTGGTTTGTTCTGAGGGTTTATTGTTGTTGTTTTAATGTCTTTTGACAGTTTGTTCTAATTCCTCTGCTTTATCTTCAAGTCCTGATACTCTGTTTTCAACTTTTTTTTGTCCTATTGCCTATGCTTTCAGCTGTTTTGTAATAGGGAGATAGCACTCTTCATGCCGCCTAGCTCTTTATTGAAGTTGTGTTTCATGTTCTTCATGAAAGTTTTCAGTTTCTGCTTCTTGTTGATACTGCCTCTCATGTCCTGTATTTTCTTCATCTTGCTTTTTGTAAACTTTCAGTGTTTTGTAAAATTGTTTACAGTCCTGTTTTATCTCATTGCCTATTTTTCTCATCATTGCTTTAATGATTCTTTAGCTTCTCTTCTTACATCCTGTGTTGTTAGCATTTGTTTGTCAATTTTGTAATCTTTCGTTGTGATTTATGCATCTGGGTTCAGGGTTTGTAAAGGCTGTGCAGTGTGGGTATGGAGTTAGTGGTGATGGGAGCAACAATATAAAAGCTTAACTATGAACTGAAAAGATTGGGGTTCATCTGTATGGAAAAGATAAACAAATTTATAGAGGAAAGAGAAAAAGACAGCAAAGAGGACAAGGAATCGGTGTAAAAGAGGAAAATCAGAGAAATCATTCAGTCTATTCCATTGAAGAAAACAAAGATGAGGGGTGATGAGTCTCAGTCCCTAAACACTAGTGCAGCCACCTCTAGGTCACCTGAGCCAGGTGCTGGTGCACACTCACTCAGGCAGAGGCTCTTGAAAAATATCACATGAACACAAAACAAGTCTGAAATTCAGTAAGTAGTCGTTTTTTTTCCTCATCCAGTTCTCTCCTGGGGATCCTCTTCACTCCCAGTCTGAGGCTCAGCCCTGTGAAACCTGTGACCAAGATGGCGGTCAGTGGCTGGACCCTAGCCAGCTTCCACTGAGTTTGTCCCTGCAGGCTGGGAGCGGGTGCTCAGCTTCCCCGTAGGCCGCTGGGTCCTTGTGCCTGGTCGGGATCCACTACCCACATGTGCCTGGGTTTCAGACCATCCCTTACCATCGCGCAGGCCACTGCAAAGTGTCTGTGCGTCTACATTGGCACCAACAGGCATCAAAGACCACTTCCAGACTGTCTCATGACCTCTCTAGGGCTGGATTTCTCTTCCTAAGCCCTGTACCTGTACGGTCAGATGGAACTCTGACCTTTTTCAGTCACTGTTCCTCCATCTTCCCAGAATTCCTTTGAAGGCGCTTAAAAGGATAGTTGAGTGAGCTTTGACAAATGTATTTATCTAACAATTACCCAAATACAGAACCTTTCTATGACCCAGAAACTTAACCGCTGCCTCCTTTCCCCTGCGCCCTGCCCCACCTCAACTTGTTGCCTGATTTCTTTGAACTCAACTGGTGGGGTTATGCACTTTGTGGTGGCTTCTTTTGCATAAGATAGTGTTGTAGAGAATCATTAATGCATCAGTGTTGTTGGACTACTAAGGGTGCCTATTTTAAATTTTTTTTAAATCTAAATAAACTTGGAAGTTGGTTGCTGGTGGCTCAGACCTGTAATCCTTGCTACTTAGGTGAGTGAGATCTGAGGATTGCCGTTCAAAGCCAGCCCAGACAGGAAAGTCTGTGAGACTCCTTTCTCCACTTAACCACCAGAACACTGGAAGTGGCACTGTAGCTTAAAGTGGTAGAGTGCTAGCCTTGAGTGAAAAAGCCTAGGGACAGTGCTTAGGCCCTGGGTAACCCCCCCCCCCCAAAAAAAAAAAAAAAAAAGACGGCCTTGATTGTCTGAGAGTGAAATTTTATTCTAACTCACTGTAAGCATATATGAGCTGTATGGGACTGTTTGTATGTCAGATGTCTGCCTTAGTGAGAATTTATTATTAGGCCGATTAGTAAGCATTAAACACATTCATATTCTATAGGAGCAACAAAACACAAATGGAATAAGAAGGATGAACTTGTCCAGTTTTATAAATCTTGGTTGTTGAATACCACCTGAAATGTCAACTAACACTCATCATTCATTGTAGGTGCTACAGAATATCTTAGAAACAGAAAATGAGTATTCTAAAGAGCTGCAGACTGTGCTGTCCACCTACCTGCGGCCCCTGCAGACCAGTGAGAAGTAAGTTGGCCAATAGATTTCACTTATTGAGGTAGTCCTCACCCTGGGCTGAACTCTTTATGCCAATTTGCCTTAGACATAGCAATGTTTGATGGATTAAGAATTTAGTAGGAGTTTGGGAATGAGCAATGAGACCGTAAACCAGATCATTTACATTTTCAATGTTATTTTTCTTGGTTCTAGGTTAAGTTCAACAAACACTTCATATTTAATGGGAAACCTAGAGGAGATATGTTCTTTCCAACAAACACTTGTACAGTCTTTAGAAGAATGCACCAAGTAAGTAAGATACTAAAAGCTTGTAAATTCAAATTGAGGCAATTGGTATCAGAAGGATCACATTTAACATCATTTTAGAATTCACGTTTCTAGGGGCTGGGAAAGTGGCTCAGTGGTAGAGCGCTTGCCTTGCATGCCAGAGGCCCTGGGTTTGATTCCTCAGCACCACATAAGAAAAAAGCCGGAAGTTGCGCTGTGGCTCAAGTGGTAGAGGGCTAGCCTTGAATTGAAGAGCTGAGGGACAGCGCCCAGGCCCAGAGTTCAGGCCCCATGAGCGGACCAAAAACGAAACAAAACAAAAAAAAAGAATTCACGCTTCTAAAGAAATAAATGAGGCTAGGCATTGGTACTCATGTCCTGAGAGTGCAGCCTGCATAATGGGTTTAGCACCCTTCAAAAGGGGAAACCAAGGAGCTGTTCCCACCTGTGTTGTGGGGACACAGCTATGATCCACCATCTTGGAAGTAGACAAAGGCTTATCCCACACACCTTGACACCCCATACCCAGCTTCAGAACTGTGAATGGCAAATCACCGAGCCTCTTCTATCCATGTCCCCAGGTCTCCTGAGGCCCAGCAGAGAGTTGGAGGCTGTTTTCTGAGCCTTATGCCACAGATGAGGACCCTGTACCTCGCCTACTGTGCCAACCACCCATCTGCCGTCAGCGTCCTCACAGAGCACAGGTTTGTTTGCTGAGACATTTGAGAAGATGGACAGCTGTCTGTTGCTGGATATTGCCTGATTCTAGTACTAGTGATATTATTTTAATTTCACTTCAAAATTAATATTTGAGAAAGTCTAGTAAAAATTCTGAGATGCTGGTTCATGTGTTTGTAAAAAGAAAGGGCCCTTTTAGAGTCTCTCTGTAGCCTAGAGTTTGGTGGAAGAGTTGGAGTTTCTAGTAGGTGGTTGGGAAGTCTCTGAGGTAAGCCCACAGGAATCAGGCTTTTCCTGGCTTCCAAAGCTGATAGACAGCTATGCTTGGGGGATGCAGGCAAGTGCCCCATTTCTAGTGAGGACTTGGTTTTGTAGGTAGAGCACTGAACTGGAGACCATTAGCTTTAGTTTTTCAACCTAAGACAAAATTGAAACACATGACACAGGATGGACACACATTTGTCTGTCTGTTTTGAGTTGGAAGAAGTTGCTTGGCTGTCCCAGGTACACTGGTGAGTGCTGACATTTGAGATTTGACTTTGTGCAAGGTAACCAGCACACTTAGGGCCTAAGTGCTGTTTCAGTTTTTTTGCTAAAGGCTGGTCTCCATCAATTAAATCGCACCTCTGCTTCTGAGTTTATGGTGGTTAATTGGATCTGAGTCTCATGGACTCTCTTGTCAGGGCTGGATTCAAACTGTGATCCTCAGATCTTAGCCTCCTGAGTAGCCTCCTAGGATTACAGGCATGAGCCACCCAGTGCCATGCCAGTTTTATTAACATTTTAGAAGGAATTTCATGGTTTGTTCCGAAAACTGCTTTGAAATTTTTGAAACTCATAAATGAGAGAAGTATTCATTAAGCATCAAGATAAATGCTATTGTGCTTCCATAACTCAACAAGCGATAATTTGGCTAGGAGGCTTGCTGTTATCAGCCTGGGATCTCCACAAACTTTGCACTCCAAGGGCTCCAGCTCTTTTTCTGCAGGTCCTGCACATAGGCTTCTGATAAGCATTGAGTGTGACACATATTAATGGACAGGTCCTGTCAGGCAGGTGCAAAAAAAGCCTCATCGATTGATTATCTTAAGAATATAGTTGCTGCTCTATCAGTATGCTCAAGTATGAAGTGAACAGTTTTCTCTACCCCCATTTGTATTTGCAGCCCCAAATGAAGCAGGATCCTGGCATGGTGCTGACAGGCCTGGGGGCTGGGGTGTCAGGAGTTGTAGAGAAGAGGGACCCGCCTGCCCCTCTGGGCCTTGCCCTCTTCCTTCCCACTTACTGTCAGAACTCACAGAGCTTATGTTCAGTTAGGTGCTGTGCTATTGGATTCTGGAACTTCCAGTTAAGTGAAACCTCTCCACAAAAGAAAATGCAAGTGTTAAGTTTGTATCTCCCCAAAATACTTCAGAATTATTAAGGCAGTGATGAGGGACATGCGTAAAAGCAGGATGAGATGCTTCCACAAATTATAAAATGTTTTTACGTTTCCTTCCCCGGGTCCTGTAAGGTAGTGTTGAGAATGTAGAAAGAGGAAATGAGAACAAAGCAGCAAAGCTGTCCAAGTGTCCTAAACCTTGAGGGGAAATGTGTGTGGATGTGGTGACTCTGCAGGTCGTGTCTGGAAGGCTTAAGAAAGGCATGGGCTTTTCTGAACAGACCAGAGGGAAGAGCAGATTTGGTTTTGAGTGGGGCGCTTGGGTTTCATGTCGCAGGTGGAGTGGAGCCCGAGATCATGCTGCAGATGGCCTGGTGCAAGTGTGTGGCCAAGGTTGCTGTGTGACCTTGGCAGGGAAGAGGGTCCCCTAGAGCCAGTGGGCATGGCAGCAGTGGGATGTGGTGTGATGCCCTGAGCCATGGCAGCTCACCCATTGCAGATCACATTGCCCTTCTGAGACTGAAGTGGGCGCGTGAGGACTGGGTTGTGCTATCTGGCACTGTCTGGGAGCACTTTAGGAGGAGATGCAGCCTGGCAACTCCCTGCCCTTTCCCGAGTGCCTCAGCTGCACATCTTACGAGACGATTCATCTTGCAATGCTTGAATGCTTGAGTCTAGGATTTGGAAGTTGAAGTTGAAAGTCTGTTTTGGAGGGTTGGGCTGCAAGCAATGCAGTGAGAGGAGTGCTTTGGAACCTGCCACTTGCACGCCCCCCCCCCCCCCCCCCCCCCCCCGTGAGTGTGAATCTGGGCAAAAGCATGAGCAGAGTAGGCATTCTAATGGGTGGATGCCTTTTCTTCATCATATGATCATGGACGCTGTATGTTCATGTCAGCTTCTGAATGAATGACAGATTTCATATGTGAATGTGTAAACACGGCGGATTTACTTCCCCGTGGGTGGCTACTTTTTAATGTACAAGTCTTATGTGTGTGCTGCAGTGCACCTGCAGCATTGTTTCAGTCGGCAGAGGAGGCACACTGGGGTGGCCAACAGGGGGTAGAATTAAGCTCAAGGTCACTGTGTGTCAAAGGAACTAACTAGGAGGTATGAAAACGACACAAAACTTCTTTAGGAACGTGAATGCAGTTCTTCTTCTTAGCTATGTACATGTTTTTAATGTGTGGACATTCTAAGACGTTAGTTTTACTTGTGGAAATTTTACTTGTTAGTTTTAGGAATGTAGGGGTAGTAGTCACTGTCATTATGAGATGTCACCAAAACCTCAAATACCAATAAAGACCAGATTAGAGGGTTCCTGGTGTTTTTCTGCTGGTGGCTCATATTTAAATTGCACTGTTAGTATAATAAACAAAGGCTGATTTTTATGAGGCTGTGCCTGGTGAAAGTTGGTAGAAGGAAAGTTTCTGGTGTCTTAGGGCCTGGCAGAGAGTGTGATGGGAGGCACCAGGGCTGTACACCAGGTTGTGTGTACGTGTGGTGACACCAGTCACTTGCCAGAAAGGCCTTTGCTATCTATGGTGTCTAGGACAGTGTGGGTCTGGGGCTTCACTGCCTTGGAGCCTGCTACTGCACAGCTGAGGAAAGGGCCGGGGAAGCGAAGCAGAAGGCATCTCCACGGTGACTGTGAGTGGCTGCATACCATGGGCTCTCGGTGATCATCTTGGCTTCTACACAGCATGACCTGAAGGTGCACAGTACCACATTGCATGCCTGCAGATCTCATTGTGTTGTCTAAATAAGCCCAAGCCTGCAGCTTTCTGGAGAACACAGAATCATAGAGACGAAGATTGTGAGTTGTGTACTGCCTGTAAAAGTATAGGCACACACCCATGTGCACACCCCTAGCAGTAATTGGACAATTTCTGTGCCAATAATTTTAATTATATCATGATGGTGAAGTCTTCGTCATATTTAGAATTGGGAAAAGGTTCCATTCATCTGTTAACTAGGATTATGTGATACTTTCAAGTTTTGTATATATGTATATTTGAAAGATTGATGCTTGGTATGTGTAGCTAGACCAAAGGTGCTATGCAACACAGGAATGTCCTCGACAGCCTGTCCAGTGAGCCCCCGAGGTGTTGTGGGAGGTAGTTGGATAGAACCTCCTGTGGAGAAGCTCCACACTTTGGAAATGGAAAGCTATTTGCAGCTGGCTCATGGCTTTTTCACCTGATTCTGGAGTTGGTGTGGTGAGTAATGGTTGAGTAAAGCATCCTTGTTCTCCCTTCAATTCCTAAACACCAGAGGAATGAGGATGGGGTATGGAGGGACGGCGTGCTCCAGCTCACGTTCACACGTGTGCACCTGTGGTCTGTCTGTGTCCTGTATTCTCAGCAGGAGCCCCTGGCTTGGGGACGTGTGGGGGGCTGGAGAAGGCTGGCACCTGGTAAGACTTGGTTAGGGAAGGCCAGCTTTGTAGCTCACCTGAGGGTCTCGAGGTTGTTTAGGTTGTCTAGAGAAGGTTAGGCTTGGGACAACTCTTCTTGGGTTGGGAGATGCGGGAGGCATTTAAGTCAGGTCTTTGGATGTCCCCTGAGGTTCACTTGCTTATGTGGGTCTCCTAGGATGGGGTATGCTGCCTGAGCCTCGCTCTGGTGCCCAGCCTGGGGTGCAGCCACTGAGGCCCCATGGTTCCTGCAGGTGGCTGTGCAACATGAACAGCTGGGGGGGGCGGGGAGGGAAGGGAGGAGATGGCTCTCAGTCCCCACAGGCCTGCTCATGCCATGCCTGTTGACCTCTGAGGGCAGGGACATCAGAGAGAGTATGAAGGACTGACCATGTGTGAGATGAGTGCGGTCTGAGTGGCTGTGAGAGGGAACTGTGGTTTCTGGTCCTGCCCTCAGTTTCCCCGTCTGTTCTTCCCGCGTCCTGTGGGAATGCAGCACGGTTGACCTGTGACTCGCCTCTACATATCCAGCCTGTGTGTCTGGCCCTTTTTTGCCATATTGCGTCACCTGCACTGCACTAGCTGCCCCTGCAGTTTGTAGTGTCCTGCTCTGCCCCTGTGGTTTGGGGCGTCCTTTCCTAAGCAGCTCGTGTGACTTGGAGATGACTAGAAGCCAGTCGGGTTTTGGGTGACATTCTACCACCGAACTACATCCTGTCCCCTAGGAAAGGGATATGAATGGAAATGAACAGAGGCTACTGGTCCAGGGTGAGCATGGCCTCCTGGCCCCTGGACCACGAGGAAGGAGCCATTCCTTCTCTGTGCATGCTGCTTCCCCTGAGACAGGTCTGTGTGGTACCCACACACCACAGGCTGCTTGGGCCAGTGGAACTGCAGATGTGTGTTCTATGTAAGAGCAGTAATAGGTTTGACAAGTTCCGTTTTGTGTTGGAACATAACCAGACCAGATTTGATTATTGTAGAACCTGTCACCTTTACAGTAAGCAACTTGTCTGAGCCCTGGCTCTGACTAGTAAAGCAAAGCCAAAGCCACACTGTGGCACCCCTAACCCCACATTTCCCTTTCCTGCCCTGCTGCCAGCGAGGACCTGGGGGAGTTCATGGAGACAAAGGGCGCCAGCAGCCCTGGGATCCTCGTGCTGACCACGGGCCTCAGCAAGCCTTTCATGCGCCTGGACAAGTACCCCACACTGCTGAAGGAGCTGGAGAGACACATGGAGGTGCCGTGCGCCCGCTGGGCACTGGGCTGTGGGCAGGGAGTGGTGCTGGCACAACATCTGGCAGAGACTGCTGTTCTCAGCTGATCAGTGTGGCTTTTTTAGAAGCCAGCACCAGCACTTAGTTTACCCAGAGTTTCAAAATGATCTTGTTAACTCTGAAGTTTATTTCCTTATTCAGCTCTACAGATGGAAAAGATTTGCCTTCTTATCATCTCTGCCCATCAAAACATTTCGAGAGCCGGGGAGGACTCTCATGCCCAGTAGTGAGGTTGTGCAGTGACAGTGATAAGAGCGCTGCTTAAGCAATGGCGACGTCTGTCAGTTTTGAACTCTCTGGGTTTGGAGGGCTGTTAGTTTTCCTTCATTTCAGCTCTGCTGTTATAGGGCAGAGCATTCAGAGATGGCCAAAGCGTGGCTTTAGTTACAGAGCTGACAGTGCTGGCCCTCACTCTTGTTCTTGCTCTCCAGATTGCTTTCCCTTCTCCCCAAGCCCACTGCTTCATGATTAAGAAAGAAAGAGAGGGAGGGAGGGGGAAAGAGAGAAAGAGAGAGAGAGAAGAGAGAAAGAGAGAGAGAGAGAGAAGAGAGAGAGAGAGAAAGCCCTTTAATGCTGTAAAAGAAAGGGCCATGTTAAGGGCTAAAAAGTATTAGAAAGGTTTTGGGCTAACCTACAGAGAGTACCATTTTTTATTATGAAAGCTAATGTTGTGTTTCTTTTACCCAAAGGAGTATCATCCTGATAGACAAGATATTCAAAAATCTATGACTGCCTTCAAAAATCTTTCAGTAAGTGATTAAGCATATTACTTTCCCCTCAGGTATTCTTATGGCAAATGCACATAGTCAATCAAAAAGTTAGGTGGTAAAAAGTTAGTTGTGACTTGAATTTAATGTTTACTCAGTTGAAATAAAAGCAAATGAATAGTAACATTCTATGGCAAAATTCTCTTGCTTTAGTGTTAGTGTACTGTAGGTACCACACAGCGGATAGGCTGATTATGTGAAATTGAGCCACTTTAAGATCATTAAAAGTGTTTCCTCACATCTCTCCATGGGACCTTTTGTGATACTCTGGGGAATACACTGCCACTGGCCCTATCTTCTGATGTCACATTGTTTTACCAACTTGCTTTTGAAACCTTTGCCTTATTTATAGCACAAGTGCTACTTATTCTGTTTTCCTTGTCTTTGTTAGCAGGTTAAAAGCCAGAATGGAAATATTTTGCTGTTTGCTGTATAATTCTTCTTTCTAAAAATGACATTTTTCTAGAATATTGTTTGGAATTTTTCCAGAGTCATTGTTTTTCAAGAATTTTGTTTTTATTACTTCCTACTTTGAAGCAAAACTTGCAATTCCATACAGTTAAGAAAATCATTAGCTGATCTGTCTTAAGAAGTAAGACACAAAATAATAATTGTTCTAGGAAAAAGCAATGTGACCAAAACTTAAGATTTTGGAAACTTGTGTCTCTGAACAGTATCACCCTGTGTCTTGCAGGCCCAGTGTCAAGAAGTACGAAAAAGGAAAGAGCTTGAGCTGCAGATTCTGACGGAAGCCATCCGGAGCTGGGAGGGGGACGACATTAAGACTCTGGGCAATGTTGTGTACATGTCGCAGGTCATGATTCAGTGTGCAGGAAGCGAGGTACTTGCACCTAGCCTGTGCCACGACTCTCTTTCCTCCTCTTTCTCTCCCTCTCTTTCTCTCCCCACCTTGCCAGTACTAGTGTTTGAACTCAGAGCCTCAAATTTACTGAGCTGACTTGCTCACTCAGGATGGTCCTGTGCCACTTGAGCCATGAGTCTAGCCTGGCTTTTTGTTGGTTGTTTTTGGAGATGGAGTCTCCAGAATTTCCTGCAGTTGTCCAGATCTCAGCCTCCTGAGTAGTTGGGAGTACAGCAGTGAACCATCAGTGCCCATCTTATCCTAATTTTTTTTTTTTTTTTGGTCGGTCGTGGGCCTTGAACTCTGGGCTTGGGCGCTGTTCCTGCACTCTTCAGCTCAAGGCAAGTGCTCTACTGCTTGAGCCACAGCACCACTTCCCCTATCCTACTTTTTTAAGACTTTGAAGTACAGGCTCTCAAAGGTGCAAGTCCTGGCTTAGGTTATAATTGTGGTTGGTGTTTTGTCCTTGACAGACAGAGAAAAGCTAGATGTAAGTAGAAAGTTTAGAGCTGCAGGCCCATTAGGTACTTCAGTGCAGCCAGAGGCAATGTGCTCCAGAGCACTTGTGAAGCAGAAGATGTATCCAGACAGGACTGGCATTGACACTGAAGTCTGCCTCAGGACCCGAAGGCCTGGCCTGGCCTGAGTTTCCCATCAAGCATCCCTCCTGGGAACCTGCAATTTCCAATGTTAAGGCCCTATACTTTTCTCTTAATTGGTATTTATTCTTGGGAGGCACAAGTTTGCTTGTGGGTTAGGTGAAGCAGGAGAATAAACTGGATTCTTGTGCTATCCCCACAGAGTGGTAATTGACCAGTTGTGTTTTATGATTTGTGGAAGTTACATATTTATTGGATCACTAAGCAGTTATCTTACTTTGATTCTACCTTTGCACAAAAAAAAATCAGTCTTGAGGAAGCATGCTAATAACCCATTTTAACCTAAGAAGCTCTTAAAAAAATAAGAAAACTGAACTTAAAATCATACCACATGTTCCTTCCTTGCATGAAATTTTCAAATGGAATTCCTTTTATGTACTTTGAGGCTTTGTGGTATTGAGTATCCTAGAAATTAGACTTTCCTCATTGACCACATTGACCTGAAACCCCCAGATCTTTCCAGGAACAGTTTGTTTCTAAATCCTATAATTTTAAGCTTTTTCTGAAGATAATCTGAAACATTTCCTGAAGTGTGTTTGTTGCAGTACTCGATCTCTGCAGTGTTGGTGGGTTCTACCCCAGACATGACCCACGGGCGTAAGCAACCTAACTGTGAAGATGTCTGTCTGCAGGTGCTTCCTGGGCCAGTGCTCAGGACATTCCCAGCACACATTGTCAGTTCCAAGAGGGGAGCCTGATGTTATGTTCAGGACTTCCTTAAGATACAGATCTTTTCATTTATTATTTCATTTTTATGGTACTAGAATTGATCCCAGGGTCTTACTAGGTAAGTACTGTGTCATGTCCCTCCTACTTGAGCCACTTCCCTACCTTTTTATTTTGTGTTTTGAGATGAACCTCCCTAACTTTGCCCTGGCTAGTTCAAACTGCTATCCTCCTGCTTTGGGTCCCTCCCCTTCTCCCTGCTGTTTCCCGCCCCCCTCCCCAGTAGGTGGCATTACAGATGTGAGACACTCTGCTGCCCAACTCGAAGTATGGTTGTTGTCTTTTCAAGGCACTTTGTGCAGTCAGTGGTGAAGAGTGTACAAGAGTGTACAAGTGTCTGGCTGGTGTCTCAGTGCATGGATAGGATTCTGGCGTCCCTGTCTGTGTGTATCCTAGACTCTTGGGAAATTTTGTCTGCAGATGTGATATCTTTGGCTTATGTTATCAAATCATTTTAATATACAAGTCATGCTTTCATGTATTCCATGCAAAGCTGGAAAAACTAAGAGACAAATGAGAACAGTTTGACTTGAAGAATCCTCCTATTTCCCTGCCTCTCAGTACATTTTCTGAGTTTTTCTTTTCTGATCTATGAAAAGAAACTTTTAGAACTAAAATAATGTGTTTGTGACTCCAGGGAACTTTTTAAATAGTTTCTTTGTTAGCTTTTATATATTGAAGTATTTAACCTGTTGGTTAAAGTGCTCTTCTTATATCAGAATTGATCATAACCGTTTCCATTTAATATGATTTGGTAGAAATACCAATAGGAAATATTTGTCAGGTCATAGTATAACATTAGCAAGTAATTTTTTTATTGATTTATATCAGTTAGACAGGGGATGAAAAATTTCATCTCCACACATTTCAGCTGTGTTCCTCTCTGTCAAACTCACTGACCTCTTTCCCCCCAAAACAGTATCCCCAATAGGTTTTCTTGTTTCATTTTCACAATTGAAAATCTGTTTTTGATAGTATCTGACCTTTTTTATCCAATAAGTATGTGTTAGAAAATTACTTTTTTTTTTTAAAGGAAAAGAATGAAAGATATCTTCTGCTCTTCCCCAACCTTTTACTAATGCTATCTGCCAGCCCCAGGATGAGCGGTTTCATCTATCAGGTAAAACACAGTTGGGTTTATGTTTATTGTTTGTGAGGGATATGGAAGTCATTTTGACACTGGTTTTGAACTTTTGCACTGTAAGTGGCACTTTTGGCACTTGCTATTTTTAATCAGTGTTGTTCAGATAGGAAGAAACTTGCCACCTGGGCATCCTACTGTCTAAACCCCATCTACTTCTCATTGCTTTGAGTGAGTGAGTGTTTTGTTAACTGTGTATGATGGAGAATGCAAGTACTTGTAAGGAAGGGAGTGTTCACCTGTGGGGCCATATTGTAAAGACACGGTGCTTGGGCGTGTCATTGTGCCATGCAGAGCATCATCTCATGCAAAGCATGTTGGGCTCCACAAGGCACAATGGGTTCAGTGGGTTGGCATAGAAGAAAGTGTGTTGTAAGGAGGTCTGACACCCACAGACCTTCGTTATCCCGTCACATGTAGCATGTGCCTGCCTAACCTTGCGGTTTCAGTCCTTCCAGTGGTTTCTTCAAAGAATCCTGCAAGAAGTGGGTGGTTCTTGGCTCTGAGATGGGTGCAAGCAGTCTTCCCTGTGCATTCTGTGGGACGTCAGGGGAGGGAGGATGCAGGCTGCCTAGTGCACTGCCTCCCAGATGTTGATTTTCATGAGCAGGTTGTACATTGCCCTGTGTCCGTTGGGGCAGCTTGCTCATACCGTATTGGGAAGTGCTGCTGTTGGCATGCTGATGGAGCCCCCCTCCCCTTACTGACAACTCAAACAAAGACAAACTTTTTCTAAAGATTCAGCCCAATTGGCCATGGCTGTGGGACGAGATATTTTGTGTTGGCATCTGCTTTGTTCATAAGGATCAGCTTTTCATCCTCCATCTGGGATCTCAAAGCTGACATTTCAGGCCCAGGTCCAGGTCCTCTCATTGGCAGGGGTTGCTGCCGTTAGCACCCTGTCTGCAGCCAGCCCCATGTTACTGCCCCAGTTCCTGCTCTTAGAGTCAGGGTCTTGTTTGCTTCATAATACTGACATGTCCTTTGAAACAGCTGCTGTACTCTGATTTTATAATAGTGTAATGTTTTTTTGTCTCTGTTTATGTTTAGAGAAATCAACAGATGAACATTCTGTTCAGTTTTATACTTTACCTTCTGGTGTCTTCACTGTGGTATTATGTCTTATTTTAGGTAGTTTTTAATTTTACACATGCACTGCTATAAGCAAATAGCACAATGCACAATTTGGTGCACAATGTTTCTCTGTCATTTTTAGTCAGTTATGTTTTATAATAGCACATTCTCTACTAGAAAGGCACTGATTATGTTTTTTTTTTTGTGGGGGGTCTTTTTAGGGAAAGCTACCAACGACAGGAATGACAATCACAAAGCTTGAGGACAGCGAAAACCATAGAAACGCGTTTGAAATATCAGGTGATGGGTGCAAGCTGGTGTGCATCTTCAGCACCATGCGATGTCACAGCTGCCCTCTGTGCAGATCCTTGCTTGTGTATTTCTGGGAGGATGTGTAAGTGTGTGTGTATTCACCCATTCTTTTTCATCTTAGGGAGCATGATTGAGCGGATACTGGTATCTTGCAACAACCAACAGGACCTCCATGAATGGGTGGACCACCTGCAGAAGCAGACGAAGGTCACAGCCATGGGCAACCCCACCATCAAGCCCCACTCTGTGCCATCCCACACCGTAAGGGCTCCCATGCTTCTCCTTGGCCCTGGAGGTGGCCTGGGGTGAGGGGTCTGGCCGTGTCAGGGTTCTGAGACCTGCCTCCCGCGCTCTGTGGGCCATGGTCTCACATGGGAGTGTGGTGCCCTCTGCCTCGTATGCTCATGAGATCACTGATGTGGGGTGGCTTGCTAGCCTGTTCAGAGCCACTCCCAAGACCATGGGGTGCCCACCAACACCCTAGAACCACTCAATTCATAGGGAGTGATTTTCTGAAAATTTTAACTACATTTGTTATGTTGTGGGGTTTTTTTAAAAGCTAAATTGTGATCATGAAGGCAACCAGATTTGTGTTAAAGACATTACAATCTAATTTTAACATATTAATTTAATTTTAAGAAGGGCATTATTTTTAATAAAAAGCCCAACAGCTTTTGATTTTTTTAAAGAGACACAGCATTTCAAATCAACAGCCAAATCCAGGCCTCGTTGAACTGTTTGTGATTAAGAAATAGACGCTGAATTATTTTAACATTATCCTCTTTAGTGAAAATTTAATAGGGCTTTTCAAAAAACAAATTATGGCTGGGCGCCGGTGGCTCACGCCTGTAATCCTAGCTACTCAGGAGACTGAGATCTGAGGATCTCGGTTCAAAGCCAGCCCTGGATTGCAGGAAAGTCCGTGAGACTCTTATCTCCAATAAACCTTTAGAAAACCCAAAGTGGCACTGTGGCTCAAGCAGTAGAACACTAGCCTTGAGCTGAAGAGCGCAGGGACAGTACCTAAGCCCAGAGTTCAAGCCCCATGACCGACAAAAAAACCAAAAAAACAAATTATGATTTAATAGGCATTTTCCCTTTAATTTTCCTCTCATCTTCATTAGACTAGTAGGATAGTTTCTGCTTTTGTGGCTCACTTTCCTGTCTTCATATGAAGGGTCATCATTACATTACCCCAAAGCTGAAGCTAGGAGATGGCTGTCTCCTGCTCTTGCTCTGTCAGCAGGTGGAGGCCAGAACTAATGCTGGCCCACACAAATGGCCATGCTCTAGACACTTCTCCTTACATAAAAATCCCTGTATATGTTTAGTTTTCATGAAACTCCACTTACCTAGGGGCTGTAGATATGTCTGAAGCATGTTTGCAGGGCAGTGTATGTGGTTTCTCATTCAGATCTTCAGTTGCAGCCTGAAAGTATAGTTTTCTTTTGGGCAGACTTTGCTATATACTTGGGCCTGTACTTCATTGTTTCTTTCATGTCAGGCAATGGTGCTAGGCTGGTACCCAGGGCACGTGCAGTCCCTGAGGGTTGGGAGAAGATGCTTACCTCAGTTACCACATTTGAAGTGCTCTACATGCTCTTGGGAGCATCTCTGGGATTCTCTCTGTTCTGCCTGGGATCCAATTTGAATGTATTTTCATTTTCCCATCAAATATACTCCTGTAACTTTCGTAGATGAGGACAAGTCAGACAATGTTTGACACAACTTTCTCTGCGTGTAAGTTACCTAGTTTGAGAAAGCTTGTTTTGTGTAGTAGTGGTCAATAGCAGCTAGCTCCTATCTAGGAGCTCATGATTGCTGGGGGTGGTGGAGTTTGGCCTTGTTTCTGAGGTCTGTCACACCTTTAGCATGATGGCTCCACCAGGTGTGAACTCCCAGAACCCCTCTGCCTGCCCCATGAGGCCCTTGGGGCCCAGTGGTTCATTTTGAATGTTGGCTACTTTAAGATTTTGTTTCATTAGCAGTGTGATGAAATGTTCTGAGGATATACAGGAATACAAACCTAATGTTAATAACATACCTCTGATAAATTTAGATTGAACTGAGTTAAGAGAATATCTTGCTTATCTTAAAGATACAATTTTTTTATGATGGGGTAGATGGCTCTTTATCAGTCTCTCAGCCCTTTGCATATGAAGGCCGCCATTAGAAATGAACCTGGCTGCTGAGTGCCAGAAAGACTAGCCCTGCCTGCCTTACCCTGCTTCTGGCCCAGTGGTCAGGCCCTAGCTTTGCTCCTTCCCGGTATGACCAGGTAGGTGGTAGTTTAAGTGTGACTGGAAGAACTGTCCTTCAAGTTTCCGTCTGTGAAGGCCTGTTCTTGTATGGACTTCTGATGATGACGCTCAGTGGTTTATGCTCAGTGGTGAACCTTTTCCCAAACATTCCTGTCTGGCAGATGTAGCCTTTGGGGAACTGGCCGTTAGCCCCAGCGCAGAGTCGCTTCTCACAGCCAGAGCCAGCTATCACTGAAATGGAGGGTGACCTGTGCCCACTGGAAACCCACTGCTGGCAAAGCTGGATGTGATCGGGTTCTTGTGCAGCAACCATACCAGTCTCATGCCGTCTCTGCTTTTCTCACTCTCTGTGCCGACAGCTCCCCTCCCACCCCATCCCTCCATCCAGCAAGCACGCAGACAGTAAGCCCGTGGCGCTGGCGCCCACGTACCACACGCTTCCCCACCCCTCCCACCACGGCGCCACGCATACCACCATCAGTTGGGGACCTCTGGAGCCTCCGAAGACCCCCAAGCCGTGGAGCCTGAGCTGCCTGCGGCCTGCGCCTCCCCTCCGGCCCTCGGCTGCCCTCTGCTACAAGGAGGTGAGACCCTTCAGCCACCCAGACATCACCGACCACCGACAAGCACGCCGCGAGCCCGGGTCTGTAGATTGGTCACTTTGTGCGTCCAGTGAATTCAGAAGTGAAGTCCTATGTTTCTCTGTGCCTTCTTCAGAACTGTGTACAGGCCCTACCCTCAGTCTATTGTTGTTTCCTTCTGGTGATGCCAATGCTCCAAGGCCTCCAGATAGTGCCCAGAGGGGCCTGTCTGCACAGTGCATTGATGCCCTCCTGGTGCCTCTCGGGAGGCCTTTGGGAGAGCTGGAGATGGACGTGGCTGAGCCTGTGGTGGCTGTGAACTTGTGGCTGTGAGGGCCTCACCTTCCTTATGCATGCCCTTTTACTGTGCTAGGGATCTGTCCAGGAAGCCTGCCATTGTCTGATAGGAAGAGCACATGCACCAGTACTGTGAGGGCAGTCTTAAGGCATCTCTTTCCTGCCTCTGCTGCTCTGGCTGAAGCCCAGCTTTATATACACGCAAGGTTCCGTTACATTGCAGCTCCTGTGCCTAAATGGTGTTAGCAGCTTCCCGGGTTCTCACCTATGCCTGCTTATGCAGAAGAAAGCCCATCACTGCCATGAGTATGCACTTTTGCAGTGAGTGTGAGCAGTGTGGCGATGAGTGTGACACATGTGCAAGTTCATATGCACATTTGTGAGGGTGAATGCAGGAGTGCGAGTGTGGTGGTGCATCCTCATTGCTTCTGACCCTACCATGCAGTAGGGCCGCTGGGCAGCCTCTTCCCCCTCCTGTGGTACAGAAAAAACACCCGGGAAAGATGAATCAGCCTCCATGGTTCTGCTCCTGGTGGATACTGTTTTTGTCCAGGATAGTCACATACCAGGTTGGAAGCTTTTTAATGTGGGCAATTGCTTCAAGCATATTCTTTGTCACATAGTGTGAAGGTATTAGCACACATAGTGAGGTATTAGCAAGAACTGGATGTCGTTGCTGGGGTTAAAACTGTTAGGCAAAGAAGCAGGCAGAGCAAGAAGGAAGCACTGGGGTGGGCACAGGCTAACTGCGGCCAGGTGGGAGAAGCCCCCACACCCTCGCGACAGCAGGGAGGGGCTGCCGAGAATTGAGGCCTCCTGGAGTGTTGTCCGCAGCCCATGAGCCTGGCTGGCTCTGAGGCCAGGTAGTGTTGCCTGAGCGTGTACACAGGCTCTCTGGGGCACAGGCAAGGCAGACTCAGTTCCCTTGTGCTTTGGTTCTGACATACTGTATAGCTAGAGCACACCTCTTTTTTGATTGTAAAATTGAAATGGGCTGGATGTCAGCCTCGTTTCCTGTTTGTGACTAATGGATGCTAAGAGGGGCCAGGCTGCTCCCTCTTCACCATGCATACACTTGAATTGGGGCGCAGAGCAGCCCCGAGCCTTAGTACTGGGTTTCTCTGTGCTCAGAGCCTGTCCTCACCAACTCATTTCATTTTTTTCCTGTGGCTTCATCTCTTTTTCTTCTCTTTTTTAAAAATTTTAAGTAGTTGTATGCAGGGTTACAATTCCAAAAGTCGGGTCACTAGTGCAGCACATCTTGATCAGTGTACCCCATCCACTGTTCTCCCATCCTCCCCAGCAGGCAGGCTGCATAGTTCAATCTTGACATAATGTGCATTGAATTTAAAGACTGCATTTGTTTACCCTCCTCCATTCCTGGGCACCCTTCTTCCCATCCACGTATTTCTTAAAGGAGCTTTTACTCCCCTTTCACAAAATATCCATGGTTTTCTGGTCTTTTATCATTCCTATGGGAGGAGAGTGCACATGACACCTGACCTTTCTCTCCCCCCCAGCCAGAGTAATTCTGCTGGGTGGCACCGTGGGACATTAAGCCAGGGCTTTCAAGAGTGTTAGTGACCAGTGGCAAAAGGCCCCTCTGGGTTTTGGATGAGCATTGGACAGCTGTGTGAGCGAGGTGGGCAGCATCTCCGGGAGACTACGCTGCCCTCCTCCTCCACAGCAGTGCCCTGGGGCTCCGTGGCAGCTCTGTCCTGTGTGTCTCCTCAGGATCTTAGTAAGAGCCCCAAGACCATGAAGAAGCTGCTGCCCAAGCGCAAGCCGGAGCGGAAGCCTTCAGATGAGGAGTTTGCCTTGAGGAAGAGTGAGTACCGAGGCATGGGTGGGACCATGGCTTCTGTGTCATGGTGGAGCTTGGGAACAGGATGCCATCAGTGGCCTTCCAGGGGGTTTAGATAAAAGCAGGGCCTGCATGTCGAGGCGATGGCAACCAGGCAGGCAGGCAGGCAGCATGTGTGCGGACTGTGGTCTGTTGTAGGATCTGCCTTCCCCACTCCACCTGGTCCAGATCACTACCTGACAGCCAGGCCAGGACTGGTTCTGTACTAAGGGGGTAGGGGTGTCTCTTGCTCTCCCCACGCCCAGCCACGGTCCTGTGATTGCCTGTAGGCTCCCCTCTTCCCCTCTCCTCTCCTCTCCCCTTCAGCCTGAGCCAGCTGTCTCCATGCTGGAGTTTGGGCCTCTTCCCTGGCACACTTCGAGGGCAGGCATAAGGCAATGTCTGGCTCCACCTCGAGGTTCACACGTGGCTCTCATGGTGAAATCTCACATATGGGTGCTCAGTTGACAGCCTGGGGACACATAGAGCTTCTAGATGGAATGGAAAGACTTCCCCCCATTCCCACACCCCTATCTGGGAGAAAGGATACAGCGAGCAGATGGATGTCTGGCTGAAGGGAAGCACCACCGTAGGAGGTGCTGCCTCTCACTTGGCCTGACCCCTCACTGTGGACGGGGCTGCCAGTCAGCCAGCCAGTGACTCACAGTGACAGAGAGGGTCAGATGGGCCTCATACCTCTGGCATTCTCCTCATACCCATGGAGACACTTCAGGTGTTCTTCTTAAAAGGCTCATGAGAGAGCATTTCAGGCAGAACTTGAGGATGACTGATGATCTACTTGCGGGGAAGAGGGCTAGCAGTTCTCAGATCAGTGCCTGCCTAGCCTGGGCTTCAGGCCTGCACCACAGGGTTGCTGCAAGCCTCACAGGGCGCCTTCCTCCTCATGGGAGGCACATCTCCACAGCACCCACCTTTCATGGCATCTGCCAGTGTGCCAGGGTCACCCGTCCTCTCTTTGGGTGAGAGGCTCTGACAGCCCTTCTCAAGGTGAGAGGGTCTCTGGTGTCTGGCAGCACTTATTCTGCTCCTGGAAGCTACCACTGTCAGATAGGGGACAGTGGGTGGACTGTAGGGGTGGCAGTTGTTTGCCATGTACCTTCTATGTGTAGATGCTTCTGTGCCTGCATGAGGGACGGGGGTGTGGTGAGGAGAACACCCTGACCTCAAGAGCTTACATGCCGTCGGATGACACAGAAGAGAGCTGTGATGGGGTCGTCCTCGATGTGTCGTCTGGGGAGTGCTGCCGGCTGCTGGGAGGGAGTAGTGGAAGGACAGCCCAGGATCTGGGCCTAGGTTGTAGTTGGGGGGCTGCAGGAAGCTCCAGGGCTTAGGGCGTGGAGAGTGTCCTCTGAATGTGGGCAGGTGGTCAGATACCTGTGGGTGCCTTGAGTGGGTTAAGAGTAGCGATGTGGGATGTGGGCCTTGGTAGGAATGACAGACTGGCTGTGAAGACAGAGCACAGCTCAGCTGTGGCCCCAGAGGACATGTGGCAAAGCCAGAAGATGTTGTAAAATTGCCCCCATCCCAAATGGAGGACAGGGATGGCATACAGTGTCCATCCTGCAGCATGTGTAGACCATGGCTGCCACATGCCCAGTTGTCACCTGCTTTGTGAGGTGGCATCAGGTGGACATGTGGTTCTGACACCCTGGGAAGGCTGGCTTGGGTTAAGTTGGGTGTTTGGGGGGAGTTGGCGATGAAACAGTGGGGTACCTGCACCCCTGTCCTGCCCACCCACCAGCGGGTGGGGACAGGAGGACTGTGGATAATCCATAAGTGGTCCACACGTAGCCCTGCAGAGGGTGCAGGGCCGAGAGGGTGTGGTTCATAAGTGGGCCTCAAGTAGCCCCGAGTGGTGCTTGTTGAGTGCTCAGCAGACCTTGAGTGCTAAAGCCGTTGTGCTTGTGCTGCATGGGGCCCTGCCTGGGGCCCTCCGTGTGCTGTGGGCACTGGGTTTCTCTAGTTTGCAGCAGTACCACTGCACAGCAGCGATGGTGTCCTCCTGGCAGCCACTGCCACTGCCCCTTGTAATCGGGCGTGGCACCAGTGTGGCTGTGTTTGGAAGGCCAGCAGCATACATCTTTTTTGCCTTTACATCTTTGATCTTCCACCTCTGAACTGGGCAGGTGGTTATAGCAGCCAGACTATGCCCCTGTAGAACACATCTCTGAGCCCACAGAGTCTCTACTACCCAGAGGGCGGTCCCTGGGCAGGGCTGGCTTGCTCTGTCTGAAGGAGAGCGCTCGGTGGCCCAGGTAGTGAAATTTAAGGCTTACCAATAGACTTAACTTTTGGCAGTGCAAACTATTGTCTGGTGGCTTGTTTTACTCGTAAGTTATATTGAGGCTTCATTATACAGCTATAAAGAACTTTATATTCTCTCATTTTCTTCTGTTAGAGCTTTAAAAAATATATATCCAGATTGTGTCCTAGCAAAGGAAGAAATGAAAAGGGGAAAACACAGAAAATAGGCTAACTGTATGGGCCTTTGCCTGCTGGCGAGGGACTGTCTGGTCTCCCACTGCCCAGATCACTCATCATCTGGGGAGTCTGACTGGGGCTTCCTGAACCTAGTAGATGGAGTTCCCGCTGAGTCAGGGGCAATGTGCCTTGGTAGGCCTGTAGTCATGGGGTAGGCAGTCTGTAAGTCCAGCAGCCAGCTGTAAAGATGGGATACTTGACTGTTTCTTCTTTTTCTAGCAAGAGTATTTCTTACTGTCTTTGCTGCTCCTTTATGAAATACTTATCCTTATCTCTCACCCAGTTTTCGGTTTGTGTGTGGCAGATTTTTTTTCTAATGGATTAGTATACAACTAACTCTTTGCCAGAGAAGTTACAAATAAAATATATTTTCCAAAAACTAAAATCCTTTTGGATGTACTCTCTACTTGTGAATGGAGATGAGTTCCCTGACAAACAGCGAATTCCACTGAACCTGCGCCTCTGGGCCCCCCACGGCTGCTCTCTGGTGAGTTGGCGGTGTAGCTCCCACTGAGTGTAGGATGGTGACAGGCGTTCATCTCTTAACAGGCACGGCTGCCCTAGAAGAAGACGCCCAGATTCTGAAAGTCATCGAAGCCTACTGCACAAGCGCCAAAACGCGGCAGACGCTGAATTCCAGTAAGTGTCACGGTGACGTCCTGCTCTGAGGCAGCTACTCTTTCTTAGTGGCTGATATTGGGGTGGGGTAGTGGGTCTGGAGCTTAGGAAGTGGCAAGCTAGAGGACCCCAGGTCTCTGCTGTACCTCTTTAGGTAGCATCATGGCATCATACCTAGGAAGGTGAGGACGCTGAAGGCCGGGACTGTCATAGGAGACGCTTAAGCAAAGGGGCAGTGCTGGGGCTGGTTGTTGTTTAAAAGGTCCCTAGAATTGCCCAAAAGATAATATAAGGCCTCTGTTGGGGCCGGGGGTAGAAGGAGGCTTCAAAAGTTGGGAGTAAACAACTGATTGATTTGGTAGTCATCTCCCCTTAGGTGGGAGGGGAGCAGGGCCTGGCAGCCACCAGGAGCGGTGCCCAGCCCCCACCCCTTGGCTCCTGTGGCCAGTTGAGCCTCAGTGGTCCTCTTCCTTTGCTTTTGAGAACTGGATATGATGGACACATCTGTGATGTTTGGTGTGTTCTGGCTCCACTCCTCTGACTGTGAGGCGCTCGTTTCCCTCTTCATCACCTACAGGGAGGAAGGCAGCTTAGGCCAGGGCCATGTCTTGCCTTAAACTGAGCACGTGTGTGTAAGGGCTCTTCAGTGGCTTTAGCCTTTGCTAAAGGGACTGCAGAGAGGATGGTAATGGATAGGGATGGCAAGTTAGAGCCCATGTAGAATTTGTGGGTCCATCCAGAAGTTTCAAACCATTTCTAGTATTTTCCCAGCACTGCACCATCTTCTGCCTATGACATTGAGACTTCTTCAGTTCTCACTCTCTGGGGAAAGCATCTATTTGTAGTAGTTAGTCACCAGCACCAGGAAGGAGCAAGGCCCACGTGCCCAAGCAAACTGGAATATATGTGTGTACAGTGAAGCAATGATTTCTAAGTCAGATGATTGTGATTAAAAGTCCTTACTTTCCTCCTTTGATAGTGATGCCATCTTAAGTAATAGGCTGAAAATGTGGCCATCAATCTCTGAAGAGTTTTTGAATTGGGATGTTTTAAATTAGTTATCTCAATTTCGCTTCCTTGAAGTGGATATGAGCGCAGTAGTCTCGTGTGAGGGGTGGGGCACAGCAGGTCTGTGAGCGCCTGTGGGGCTGGCATGGCTGCTGGCTGTCTGAGGAGCAGCGGTGCACCACCCACCTTTGGCACACCCTTCTTCCCATTGGCAGTGCCTGGGATTTTGCTTTGGGCTCTCAGAAGTCACATTTGGATATGTGCCACCAAGGCACGGCAGTAACTGCACATGTGCACCCCCAGCGCCAAGAAGTTGAGGATTTTGTCATGGTGTGTGGAGAGGGGTGGACATTGGACGCTCTTCCACATTAAGTGCCCAGTAAAAACGGTCTGTGCCTCTGGTCCAGGAAGAGCTTATCAAGGCTCTGTTCACATGTGACTGATGGCCATGGCCAGCCACTCACCATCACAGCTTAGCACCCTCCGGGAGGCCCTTGCCCCATTTTGTCTCCACTGCTTTCTGTCCTCTTAGCACAGTGACATTGCCAGCCCACACCTGTCTTCCTGAGCATAAAGGGTCTATGTGAGGGTGATAGCATTGTGAACACAGCTTCCCACTTCCTCTGTGCCACAGGCTGAGCCCTGCCCGGCCCTGTGAGCCAGGTAGACGTGTCCATGCTGCTTAGACCAGTAAGGTAAGTTTAGGCCCCTGCTGGTTATGTAGTATATTTTGGCAAAGAGACAATTGAAGAAGTCAGTAAAAAAAAAACTTGAAGTTATTTTGCATTTGACATATTTATACATATTTATTGAATAGGAAGTAATTTTTAATTGGCCACATAAGCGGTACTTTTTATAAATAGTGTTCTAAATAAAACCATTTGTTTGTAGAGTAGGTTAGTTGCTAAACGTGTATATGATCATCACTTGGACATGGGCTTAATTTGTAGACTATTTCTTAGGTAGAACTTTCTCTTTTTATCTTTATGAAGGCCAGTTTGAAATGCTGATCTGGGTGAAGTTCTCTAGCTCTGTTTTAAGGGTTGTGCTTTATTTGTTCTGAGGGCTGTGCTATTAAGACTCAGCCTTTTAAATGAGGGGAAACAAGCGTTGTTGCCATTTTTTTAACAATGTTTTCTCTTTTCCTTCTCTTCCCATCACCTTTTGCTTTTTGTTCCATGTCTTGGTTGTGGCTCTTCCTGTCCGTCCCTCCTCATCCCACCTCTGCCTGTTGCACCTGTCACTTCATCCCCCGTCTTAGCATGGCAAGGCACTGACCTGATGCATAATCACGTCTTGGCTGATGACGACCAATCAAGTCTAGACTCCTTGGGTCGTCGCAGTAGCCTTTCTCGTTTGGAGCCCTCAGACCTCTCGGAAGACTCTGAGTATGACAGTATATGGACAGCCCATAGTTACAGAATGGGCTCCGCATCTCGTAAGAGCTGCTGCTCCTATATCTCTCACCAGAACTAATGCACTCTGAGCTTTTCTTAACCAATGCTTGTTGTATCGCAGCCTGCTTTTCCTAGATGTTTCTTGCTGTTCCTGTCTCTTTTATGTGATATTTTAACAACTTTTAAGAGTATTCCTGGTATTTCCCATTGTACCTGGCGGAGGCTCCATTGCCAGTCTGAGCACACATTCAAATCGCTGCTGCTGGAGGGAGAGGGGGCCCCCGTGAGCCTGTGCCCAGGGTGCTTTTCCCAAGGGAGTTGTTTTATAAAATTTCCAAATTTTTTTTTTTTTTTAATTTCAGTGTAGCAACTGTTCCACTTCTTTTTGGATGTAGCTGTATGGACACTTTTATATTTTATACCAAAACCACACAGGTTTGCAATCTCAAGTGCCAGCAGCACGGAGGGGGCCCTGGCCTTACCTTTAGGGACTAAAATTTTTTATGTATAATGTGCATTTGATGGAGTGATTGTGGGGACACGGTGAGAGGAATGTTTATAGCAAACGCAACATGGTCGCAGTCTGCTGGCTGTTCTGGTGCCTGGTCAGAAGGGTGCGTGGGCCTTGACAGGTGCCCAGGTGTCCAACACCCCATGCTGCTCCCCGCAGGTGCTGTGCAGTGGCTGTCGGGCAGGAGCTCTCCCTTGTCAAGGAGAGCTCGCTCATGGCCACAGCCCAGACGTGCCCTCGTCATCTCTCCACACTGCCTGAGTGGCTGCCCTTACATGAAACCAACAAATCTGTGCCACTCTGTGCCAACTCCTGTGGTCCAGAGGTGTTGGGCTGAGTGCTTGGCTTCCGTCACAGCCTGGCTGCCCCTGACATCCATACTTGCGCTCTCTGTAAGCCATGTGCACATCGTTGCTTTCAGCAACCGGCTGCAGTGAAACTCCATTTACAGCAACCCCGTAGTACACTACTCCAATGCTTCATTGTAATCCATAGGGAGGTTACCATGTAACTCACCTGAGGAAGTGGATTTGTTGTAAGGAGTTTTCACTGGTGTCACTCGGGCCAGTCCCTGCTTGAGAAAGAACTGAATGTGATGAGTTGCATTCAGTCGTAGCAACAGCCCCACTTCTGGTCATTGCTGTGGGCAGAACTGTGTTCTCTCTCCCATGCTCTGATGTTAAAATGGAACCTTTAGTTGTATTTTAAGTATTCACTGAAACATGCTTCAGAAACAGAATGCCATAGTAAATTGGGAATAACGTTTTTTCCTTTCTTCAGCGTGGCTGCCGTTCCAGCTGTTTTCACCACCCGCCCTCCTGGCCACGCCCATGTCTTCAGTGTTGTGTCTCCTTTGCACAGAGCGTTCTCTGATGCAATATCACCCTTTCTTGGGGGCGGGATCCTGCAGCTTGCCAGTGAGAGGTGCTAGTGAACCCTGGGCCAGTGCCTCCCTCCCCCTCCCGCCCCCCGTGGGGAGGACTGCTGCATCTGCATGGCACAGGGTGGCATAGGAGCCTTGGGATGAGGCAGGGCGGGACAGGGCGGGGTGGCAGCTGCTCCTTCTGGACTCCTGTCTGTCCTTAGTAGCTACAGAACTGCTCTCACCCACTGGAGATTTTGTATTTATGTATCAACTAGTATAAATAAATTCAAAGACAATCTTTGAAGATTAGCACCCAGTATTGATTTCCAGGAAGAGTTGAGGTTTGTGTAGATTCAACCAAATAGCAAATGGCAGTATTGAAAAGTATAATTGTGAGGTTCATATGCTTATTCAATATCATGAATGTGATGGGGAAGGGAGTTTTGTTTTGGCCCCCTCCCCCGAGTGGGAGTCCTTTCTAACATTGCACAGAGCATCCTTGCTTTGGGACTTAATCCGTGCTGATGGCCAGTTTCCATGCTGTGTGCAGCACAGCTGCTGCCCGCCAGGTGCCAGCGTTGGTCTGAGGAGGCACATCAATGGCACCTACACCACCACTCCCTTTGTACGAATCAGAACCATTTGACACCGATTTTTGTTCATGCTAGGTTCACTGTAGAATAATAGCCTGACCTTTTCTTTTGTTGTTTGTTTGCATTTGTTTTGAGTGTCTAACGCCACTAGCTTTTGTGACCTGGTTAGAAGTAGCAGTGCCACAGCCCAGAAGATGGCACTTGAGTGGCAGAGGTGACATGGCTTGTGTGGAACTGTAGTCCTGCTGACACGGTACCTTATGTTTATGCAGCTCTGTGGTCTCTGCACAGTTGCTCTTAGAACAGAAGGATGAAGACTGAGCTAGAAGGTAGGTCTAAGCCATCACCAGGCCTTTGCAGATGACCCGGACAGTGTTCCCTTCAAAATTCACACACACCAGAAGTATTTAATAAGCTATATTAATTACGTGTTTTGTGTAAAATTGCCAAAACACGGTAGTGTGTATATAGTGGTATAAGACCTGAAAAACCTCTATGACTGTGCTCTTTATCTGTGAATGGGAAAAGCCATTTTTAGTACATGAGTGCCATCGAAAACTCAACTGGATGTATATCTGAATGTTGCATTGTACTGTACAGTATGCATATTATTGTTTGTGGTTGCATATGGCAATGAAGTGTTTGTTTTATATATATAAAAAAGACACCTGTTATGTACAGTTGAAATAAATTTTGCCTTTGTTAGCCCGTGACTTTCAATATTTGTTATGTGGGGAAGGGGCAATAGTGTAGTTTGTAGTTCAATATGACTTAGCTCTTCTGCTCAGATGCAGCATTTTCCTGAGACAAGCCAGGCCAGAGAAGAACTAGGACTGTCTCTAGGCATCTGTGCTCTAGGCAGGCACGACACTGCTCATGCATTCCTTCCCCTGTCCCTGCAGTGTTTGTGCACAAGTGAGAAAACCCATAACTTCTGGTACAGTTTCTTTTCTTTTGTTATACAAAGTGCACACTCAGCTCAAGAGAAATCTCAGCCCAGGAACAGAGCACCTTGTGGTGGGTGCAGGTAGGCACTGGTGTCCACATTAAGCAGATGCTGTGTGCTCTTCCCTTTCTAAGGAAGGAAGAGCAGACTCATTCTCAGCTGTAAGGAAGGTGCCTGTGTGACTTGGGAGCGGATTTTTGTGTACAACTTAATGCTTCAGTTGAGTGTAATTGGTGCATTTGTGGAAAAGTCCTGGATTGAAGAAGACCACATCACAAACATGTCTGACTGCTGCCCAGGGCGGGCACTCGATGTTCCTTTGTGAGAAGCTTAGGTTGTTCTTGGGTTTTTGGTTTCAGACAGACACACATGCCATGGGTCTGTTAGTTGGGCCCTGTCACCCCGAGTCAGTCAGCTGCTATGTGTCGTTGCTGTGGTCCTGGTAAGCAGCACAGAAGGGACAGCAGGGCCCGGGCTCTGCATTGGTAAAATGGGATTCCTTGATTAGATCTGTATTTTTCAGAGTGAGGCCTACAGTCAGGGGTGTCTGAGTGGCCCTAAGGGTGGCTGTGTGGCACTGTCACTCAGGATGGCTCAGACACCTGAGGTCTGAAGGCTCCATGTTTGAGAGGTGCTGAACTGATGTTGGGTGTCTATTTTTGTTGCATCCACAGCAGGGACGCACCTTCGGTGTGTGGTTCACAGACTCTTGGGTTGTAGGCCAGTTTGGCGTTTGTCAAATTTGCCTAGAGAACTGCAGGCTGTTTGTTCTGAAGGTGGAAGAAAGCTTCTTCAGATGGGTTTTGAAGGGCAGGATTTCTAAGCTTAGTATGTATTTGTATGGCAAACATGATCAAAACCTGTTTTTTCTCAAGGTGCATTGTGTATCTCCAAAAAGCACAGCTCTCCTCAGCATGTCCTGACGTGCAATGCTGTAGTGCCTGCCTCTGTCTCCTTAAAACACCCAGGTTTAAGAAATACAGATCTCTGCTGTCCTGAGCCATCACAAATGCGGTCCTTCTTCCAGACTAGATGATTCAGTGAAGGTACTTCAGTAATTGCTGAGACCCTTGTCTGCTTTGGAAAGCCTTCTTGCTAAAGATGTAGTCAGCTTATAATCCACCAGGGTTTATAAATATTCCTTCATTTCTGTTCTAAAAGGAGATACATTTTTTTTAGTCACCTAAGAATATATTGAAATCAGACCTGGATAGCTGTGTGGACTAAGAATCCTCATTTGCAGATCTCCTAGCTCATAGTCAGAACCACCAATGATGTTTCTCAGTCCCTGGGTTCTATTGTGCCACTGAGCATGTAGTTCTTGGAAAAGCAAGATCTAGCCAGTCTTTCCTGAGTTTTATAGTTCCTTAATGATGCTGCTTATTGTAACTTGAAGCTTGTATCTAAGAATCCATTGGGTAAGAGATAGCTATAAACTGGCTGTGTTCACTCCCAGAACAGCTTTGCTGACATGACAGCTCCTGTGATCTCTTTCACAAGTAATGAATTAAGAAGTGCTAAGTGATGAGAGGGCGTCTGTCACCAGGGCATGAGATGCCTGGTCCCACTGGCAGCCACTCCTCAGCCCTTCTCTGCTCAGTGACACTGCTTTTGTCACCTGGCAGGTTTGTTTGTCAGTACTGGCTTGGAGGCAGATAATGGAAACATTATCCCAAGGCTAGCCGAGTGGGAGAAACTGAAATGTGTAGTACTTAATCTGCCTGTGATGCAGTTACACCATCTCATTTGCTGCTGCTTCTGATGAAATGTATTGCAGGCTGTAACTTTGCTTTGCCACTGATGTTTTTTTTGATTTGACTTGGATATCTGCAGTAAGGGCCCAGAGCCGGAGAGTGGGGGAGTGGCTAACTGGGACGCGTGGGAACCGCAGATCTGCACTGTCCCCAGCTGGCTCCTCTCTACCAGGAGCTGTTGGTTTTCTACACATGTGGCAAAACGCCTGGCTCTTTGGAATCCTTATGTATTTTTCTGCAAAGATAGCACACAAACTAACTCTTCCTTCTAGAGACAGGTAACACCTCACGCGTGGGAGGCGCAGGAGCATTCGGTGGTGCTGCTCCCATGCTGCGCGCGCACTCGTGTTGTGCTGCGTGCCCCCACCAGGAAACGAGCCCAGGACCGGCTGTGCTGCCTCGTCGAGGTCTTCCATGGGAGCTCTGTCCTCTGGACAGATTTCTGAGGGGCCTGTTGCTAGGAGCAGGCGGTGGTTTTAAAATAGTGTTCCTCCCTGGAACTACCTTGAAGCCCGCCCCCTCTCCCCTGAGGCGTGGACGGACCACATCCCCCACCCCTCTATAGTGTGAGCGGAGGGCTGCCATCCAAGTAGTCTTTGACAAACTTGTGAATACACCAGATACACCTGCTCCTTAGGCTTTGACAGAAAGTACTGGAGTTTGATTGGAAGACTGACATTACTGTCCGCACACACAAAGTCCTTTCACTAAAACGTGAGTCTCGTGAAGCTCTTGTTGCGTGATGCAGATGTGTGCTTGGCTGTTCATATGAGGGCCCTCTCCCCGCCTGCCCGGCAGAACGGTGGTGTCTGCTCCGCCCGGCTCTGCCCTCCTCATGCTGCACCTCCAGCCACGCCGTCTGTGCGGGTGTCTGGGAGCGCTTCCCGGGAGCGATGTTTGGGCCCTTGCCATCAGCTTGGCGCATGGGGCGGGGGGGAGGGGCGGTTCATAAAGCTGCCCTTCACATCCTGTCTTTAAAATGCCGGTGGCATTCGGAGGTTTTGTACAACAAGGACACACAAATGCCCTTCTTAGACCTGACAGCCTCTGGGAAGACACCAGAAACATAAGCAACCAAGCTGATGCCACTGTCATGCTTTTCCAGCTTCCCTCAAACAGGTGTGTGCTGCTTTTCAAGCAAAGGTATTTAAATGAGCCCAGCTCCATATCAAGGGCTTATATTTCACAGTGGATTATATCCTCCTGCCAACTCGCATCTGAAATACTTTTTTCAAAAATACAAGTGTTTATCACAAGGTATATTCTTTTTTTTTAAAGTTGCTATTATAATGGTGATGTACAGAGAAATTACAATTACCTGAGTCAGGTAATGGGTATACAATGTATATATTTGAAGCAAGGATTTTTCATTTTATTCAGAAAGATTTGACATTCTTCCCTCTCCTTTTAAAATGAGTATTTGGGATACAATTGACCCCTGAAGTGTTACTGAGAGGCTGCCCCATGTGAGCGTTTGTGCTGGGTATTGGCTGGAGTGCCTAGCCATCTCGACTTCCTTCTGATGAAGCTGCGCATTCCTGCCACACTGGACAGCTCGCTTCCTTCCTTTTAGAAAAATGTTCAGATTCTAGGGAATAAAATATTCATTAGCTAACATAGTGGTACTACTTTTCCTGAACTTGTGCTGTAATACCTTTGTTTTTAGATGTTGCTGTTTTTCTAATTGCCAGATTTTTTAATTTATAAATACAATGTATGTGTTCTATATGGTCTTGTATGTCTTCCTAAAATTCCTGGAATAATATAACAGCTTAAATGGGTTGAGTATGTAGGCAACATGGTCAGAACCTTGAATTTCTACATTGTTGAAATGCTAAATCTGCTATTCAGACTCAGAAGTTGAAGTTTAATAAATTGCAAAAAGGCTGATGTTTCCTTTCTCTGTATGCTTGGGGAACGAGCCGCACTGGGCCATGCTCGCAGAATGGAGAGGGCGGAGGGCTTTACCCTGGAGTCCCATGGTAGCAAGCACAATGTAGTTGAGTAGCTGTCTTCCGGGCCTCTGCTGTCACATTCACTGAGGTCTTTTTTTTCTTTAATGACCCTAGGTTCACGCAAAGAATCTGCTCCGCAAGTGCTGCTTCCAGAAGAAGAGAAAATCATAGTTGAAGAAACTAAAAGTAATGGTCAGACAGTGATGGAGGAAAAGTAAGACATCTTCTGTGTGAGGCCCCCTTCCTCCCTCTCCCGCCCCCAGGTCTGTGGAGGAGGCCGGGAAATCACTTCTAAAATACCCTTGCCTGGTGGTGTTCACCTGGGCTAGATTTAGTTAGGCTGAGCAGGGCAGAACCCTGAGCCTCCCACTTCACCTGCTCGCTCTGTTTCCTCTTCTAGGAGCCTTGTCGATACTGTGTATGCATTAAAGGATGAAGTACAAGAGTTACGACAGGTGCGTTTGTCCGATTTCCATCTTAAAAACAAGGGAGAAAGGGAGAAAAGACAAAAAGACATTGTAATTTTTAGAGATCTGGCATGGAAAGCCACTGGTCTTCTATAAGAGTAGACTAGCAAATGTGGGTTTTTTGTTGTTGTTGTTTGTCAGTTGTGGGGCTTGAACTCTGGGCCTGGGTGCTTTCCCAGCGCTCTTTAGCTGAAGGCAAGCGCTTTACTGCTTGAGCTGCAGCACCATTTCTGGTTTTCTAATGGTTTATTGGAGATGAGTCTCACGGAGTTTCCTGCCTGGGCTGGCTTTGAACTGTGATCCTCATATCTCAGCCTCTGGAGTAGCTAGGATTACTGGCATGAGCCACTGGCACTTGGCGCAAATGTGTTTTTAAAGTGACTTAGTTGTATCTTTATCTTACTATCTGTAAACCACCTTAGATGTTGAAATAGTAATGTAACATAAAATGTTGTCTGGTTATGAATTCTGAGAAGCCTGGCTCAGAAGTGAGTCTTGGTAGGTGCACAGCCAGCTGGGTGTGCCCATGACCAGCAAAGTGAGGCCAGATTCAGGGGGAGGTGGGCTAGTGCTGGGAGCCTGAGGCCCCGCACAGCACTCACCACCGCTGGCTCCGGCTCCTCTCATGTCCTGGGTCCTGCTTCCTCCCCAGTCCCTGCCCTATACCTTCTTTCACTCCTGGGTAAATTTTCACGCCTGTTCATTGGCTGTTGCTTCCATTCCTTATCCAACTATTGGAGAATTAAAAATGTGGAGTAGACTGGGTGAAAGCTGGGCCTTTCACTCTTCGTAGCCCTTTTTGTACATTGTTAAGACTCATTGGTTTATAACATGTAAGCCAGAGCCACGGGGCCTGTCCTCTCGCTGTGATGGAGCTGTCTGCGGGAGTAGGGGGCCGGGGGGGGGGGGGGTGGAGGTGGAGTGGCAGAATACAATGCCAGGCAGACCGCACTGCCTTGCTCTCAGATCCCCACCCCACCCCAGGCCTGTGCATGCTGTCGCAGTGTGCAGTCTCTCAAGCAGGGGTTCTCAGTGCGCTGTGAGGATCGTGAACCTGCCGTGGTCTGCTTGGCTTACAGGATAACAAAAAGATGAAGAAGTCTTTGGAAGAGGAGCAGAGGGCCCGCAAAGACCTGGAAAAGCTGGTACGGAAGGTTCTAAAGAACCTGAATGACCCTGCTTGGGACGAGACCAATCTATAAGGCTGACTGGTTCTGTGAGCTGAGGACCTGTGACCAGGTGAGCCAGACAGGGCGACGTCCGGGATGGAAGAACATTGTCATCATGCGCAGATAGCAACGATCACACCGTCACGGAAGAGGCCAGGTTGCGCTCAACCCCCTCTGCTGACATCTTGAGTACCTCACTTGGCAATAAGTTTGGTGACTGACTAAAGTCTGCCTTTCGGACTTTTCAGTTGAGTGTGTAGACACCACACATGCGTACTTCTGTAAATACTTCATTCTGAACGTACATCCATGACTGTGTCTGGGCTGACCCTCTTACTAGGACTTCTCACCAACCCCCGGCTCCAGGAGGTGCACTTGGGCCCCATTGCAGGCAGAGGGGTGGAAGGCGCCTCTGGCAGGCCTGGGTCCTGAGCCAGCTGGTCCCCAGGGTACCGTGTTGGCATGTTCCCCGCCGGCGCACTATGCCAGCTTGACCTGGTGTCATTGGTCTTCTCTTGCAGCAGTATTCTGCCCAGAAGCCTGTGATGTGCCACAGGGACACAGGCCCAGTGGGACCTGGCCCCAAATTCCGGGCCATGGACACCATCAGGCACATCTGGAAGCTGACTCCTGCCGCCTCATGCAGGACTCCTCTCAGTGCAGGGGGCATGGCCCAGGCTGTCCCACACAGGCTCCTGTAGAAACCTGTTAATACTCTACCATTACAGCCTCCCCAGAGAGAAAACTAGAATCTGTACATAAATGTTATTTATTATTCACGCCACAGCCAGTCAGAACCACCTGAGGCAGCGCTGTGAGCAGTGGGCGGGTTTTCACTTTAGCCCACTTTCACCCTGAGAACTGTTTTGTCATGGATGTGGCCAGCATTGTCTCATGACCACTGAAAACCCACTTCTCCCTCATTCGGCAAGAATAAAGCAATACTAAGTGCAGCTGAGTAGGTCCACCGGTGGGGAGACGGTCAGGAGCCCTCACCTCACCCCGGTTCCTTGCCTCCCTGGGCCTGGGGGCTCCAGACAACCAGCAGCCTGGGCGGGAGAGCCTGGTTCAGCTGTAGCAATAAGTTATGGCGGCGCAGCAACTTGCCATCGGCGCTCCTCCTCCAGGGAGGTCGGGCCTGAAGTAAGAGCCACTTTTTTTTTGCAGGAAAATGATATCTCTTTCCCAGATACACAGCACTTCCGAGTTGCTCGACCCCGACATGCACTCTGCCCGTCACTCTGACCAGGGTCCTCAGGAGAAGCCTCTGGAAGCCTTTGAGCTGGGTGCCCAGAGGTGCTCTGTTTTCCAGTGTTCCGGTTCCTCCCCTGCTCTTGTTGCCTGCAGCCCCCGTCCCCGCGGGCCCCCGGGTTCCACGCAGGATTGCTCACTTCTGTACTTGCACTCTTCCACTTCCCACAGGGACCAGACATGATCACGTCCTGTTTCCTTGTTCAGAAACCCTATTTTTACAAGTGTTTTGGCGACTCGTAAGATGTGTTGAAAAGCAGATTTTCACTCAGGAACCATTCTTCTGGGATCTCTCTTCCCGGGCAGTGGGTGCTGAGTCACTGAAGGCTGTCCTCCACTCCCTGGACCGCCTCCTCTAGACCTGCCTTAACGACTCGCCTGAGGTGGTTCCTGAGAACGCCGTGTTTTTAACACCCCCTCCCCAAACTGGGCGTTGAGGTTTCTACCTGCAGACCACCCTGTGGGCTCTGGGGAGTGGGAGCCCACACCATTCCTTCTAAAACCCACCCTGCTGTACATACCTATGGCCTTTGCACAGGGACTCATGGAGGGTGGGGCTCGGATCCTGACGTCACAGCGATGCTGTTTACCAAGGCCACCCTCTGCCCAGTCTCCGAGGAGTAAGGGACGAAGCCATCTCCTGTCCTATAGATGTGAAGCACTTTCCGTGTGAAACCGCGCTGAGATGTTAGCCGTGTGTGGAGCTGCAGAGTATGCCGAACACCTCCATGTTCTCTGCAGCCATGCACTCTGGTGCTGGGCCTTAAACACCTGCTGCTGCCTGTGTGCACCTCCCCAATGCCAATCTCTCCCACTCTGGGACACCCGGGCGCCGGCCCCAGGGGAAGCTGCGTGCAGGCAGTGTCCTGGTGTTGACTACTACAATGTTTGTGCTACATCGTTGTAATTAATTAAACTGATTATTTTTCCTATTTCACAAACTGGTACTTTCATCTTTGGTACATTGGCTGTGTGTCTAAAAGCTTTTCACATTAAAAAACCCTAGGGAGTTTTTGATGGTGGGAGGTTCACATTTTTCAAACCCAATTGAAGAGACTAAGATGAGGAAAGAAGAGGTTTGAGGAAGGAAGCTGCAGCAGTGGCAGTGTGCTCTGTTGAGCACAGGCCCGGCCCAGCAACTGTGCTGGGCAGTTACCTCTGTATGGGAAGATGCCCAAACCACCATTGGTGTTGAACAGGTAGCTCGAGTCCCTCGTGTGATTGCCATGACTCGAGAGGAAATGGTTTTATGTGTCTGCCTTGCAGGAGTTCCCTGGTAAAAGTTCTTTTTCTGGTAAAGAGGGTTGGAGAAAGACTTGTTAGAAATTAGGATCTGGGTTCACTTGCTGTGCTAGCTTTCTGCTGCTGTGGCAGAGTATCTGAGACAGCTTAAAAGAAGGACGGAGCCAGCAGTGGCCATGCACAAGATCTGAGGATTGAGGTCAAAGCCAGCCTGGCCAGGAAAGTCAGTGAGACTTCTGTCCAGGTGGAGCTATGGCTCAGTTCCAGCCTTGTGCAAAAGAGTTCAAAGATAGTGCCCAGGCCCTAAGTTCAAGCCCTAGGATGGGCATAGAAAGGAGGGCAGGGGGAAGATGAGCCATTTCAGGGACTGGTCCATGGGTTCCTGGCCCTTTGTCTCTGGACTGTGTGACTCTGATCCCCCATGGCAGGGCATGTGGACTGCCCTTCACTCACCGTCTTGGGTGGTGAAGGCTGGGCATACTGGACCTGGGGTTCTGGCCACTTGTAAAGCTGTGTTGACCATGCATTCATCTTAGTGGCAGCTGTCCTTGAATCTGCTCCTGTGTAGGGCACATGGCAGATACCTCTCGTCCTTGGGGGGAGGCGGTGCTGGAGCCAGAGGTGCTCTGGTTTTCATGGGGGAGGATCGACTCCCCATTCTTTGAAGGCACTTAGAACTGACTTTCTTGGCGGCTCTGCAGTTTGGGGTTCTGAAAAGAAACCCCACTCAGGGCTTCACAGTGGCCGGCTGCCCTTGGAGGTGGGTTGGGCTGGGTGCACCCAGAAGGTCCTCGTGCCCTTACTTGTCTTTCCTCCTCTCTCACTTTCCTGTACCCTGCTCTCCTGGGACAGCTGCTTCAGGGTCATTTCTGCCCCCCTCCTCCCCATCCCTGAACAAAAACTTCTTAAACAGAACTTTCTGCCTGCTGCGGCTGTTTTGTTACTAAGCTTTTCCTTATGGCAAACTTCAGGCTTAGAAGACAAATGGCGGCCATGCTTCCAGACTTATTTCTCCTGTAGGTGGTGCTGGGCTTTCCTGAGCCAGGAACCCTGGGAGCCCTGGCTGCCATTTTGCCTTCCCGGTCTCTAGTGCCAGGTTCCTTTTAGTGAGGTTATGGATAGTGTGCTTTGGCTTTGTGGTGTGCTCCTAACAGCTGCTTCAGCTCCAGATTTTCCTTGCCCCGCCTGTCCCTTGTCACTGCCACAGGCAGAGCCAGGGTGCCATCTCTCTTCCCAACATCATCTGTCCTCCCAATGCCACCTTAGCCCTCCCCAGTCTGGCTCAGCTCCTACACCTGCCCCCCCCCAGAAGAGGTGGTTTCCCCTGCTCCTGGACACCATGCCCCTTCTGCCCTGCCCTTCACCTACCCCGCCCCTTAGCTGTAGTGACATGGGTAGCTCTGCCCCTGTGCCCAGCCCTGCTTGCTGGATGTCCACAGCTGCCTCCCAGCGGCCTGGGGAAGGAGTGCACTGGTGAGAGGCAGCCCAGCCTGTCAGCAATGACAGGCTGCCCACCTTGCCAGGATACAGGAGGCTACATGGTCTGAGGAACCAGCCAGGTCTTAGGCCGATGGCTCCCAGGAGCATGGAACCCATGTGGTAAGTGTGAGGCAAGACTACTTTTCCCTGGCAGGAGGGGAGACAACAATCAGTTTTCCTGGCCTCCCCACCTTTGGCCTGGGGTACCCTGCAGCGAGGTTGAGTCCACAGGGCATCAGAGTTTACCTGAGTCCTCAAACTCAGATGGCAGTGGCCTGATGGAAGTAAATTGTTCTTGGACTGGCTCATCCCAATGAATACTGTGTGCACTTAGTGGAGTGGTGAGCCATGTCTGACGCATGGAGCAGAGAAGGTCAAAACAGACGTGCCCCGGCTCCCAACAGTTGAGCAGACTGAGAACTTGCCCTATAGGAGAAGCTGGAACTAAGGCTTCCAGCAGGGTGCTGAGACTAAGATACTCCCTTCAGTGGCCCATGCAAGCCCTGTGCAAAGCTTCCCACTCTGCCTTGTCTGGAGCAGTGGCCTCTGCATTAGAGCACAAGCTTTAATGTGTGTATGGAAGGCGGCGGTGGAGTCAGTTGCATGTCTGGACTGGTTGTCTATGGGGAAAGCCATCACCTGGCTGCCCAAGAGCTGTTAGTAGTAATAAGACAGGCCCCTGCTGCAGGTGCAGCATTCAGAAGAGTGGCCCCCATGGCCTCTGGTCACCTTTCATGGCAACACCTTGGCCGAGGTTAAGGCTTTGGGATGGAAATGTGGTTCTGGGTTGTACTACTGGACCCTTCTGAGAGAGGTGGAGGGCCAGGCCTGAGGCAGCATGTGTACCCTGATGGAAGCAGGACAGGAGCAAGCAATGGCCCCAAGCCAGGGGGTGTCTGAGTCTGCAGCTGGAAAAGTGAGGGGATGGTTTCCTGAGCTCCCCCGGGGGACACAGCCCTGTGACACTTAGGTGTTATCGCTGGCCTCCACAACTGGAAGGGAACTGCTTGACACAAAACCCAGTGGCTTTCTGCAGAAGTAACATCTTAAGTAGCAGTCACCATCAAAGCCCATGAACAGCTCAAGAGACTCATGGTTTAGACACTGACAATTGACATACTGGGACTAGGGAGGCCTATGCAGATGTGTGCTTGGATCAGAGTTCATTTCTTCCACACACACACACCCCCCACACACACCCTTTCTGACAGGCTTCCTGATCACCCTCCCACCCGAACCCCACAGACTGATGCCCTGGGAAGGCCAGCATGTTGTGGCTCTGAAACTCTTGAGGGCAGAAGCCTGAAGGAGCCCAGAGGCCAGCTGCCATGCGCCTGTCCTCGACGTGGACATGTCCAGTGCCATGCCAACCAAGGGGGCAGACCAAGTGTCAGAGTCTGCAACTCCAGGCCTGGCGATTCTGGAAGAAGATGACTGGGAATAGAGGAGGGGCTACCATGAGCTGAGGTGGGGGCAGGAGGGGGAAGCCCTGTTCAGAAATGCAATCGATTCTTAGGAAAACTGAAGGTGAGGAAGACCATCTGCGTGAGCCACATCAGGAAGGGAGGTAGCTGTGCGCGCCTCAGTGATGTGTGTTGGTGAACTTACACATGCAGAGGGCAGTGATGGCAGAGGTATAAGGAAGTTGAAAGTGCCCATGTGCACACATACCCTCTCTGCCAAAAGTGGGGCAACCTTAGGAATTCAAGTCCCATTTCTCCAGCGGAATATTCCAGTGTCAGCACCACCCTGAGGGTGACAGCGCCAGACAGAAGATGTCAAGGGCAATTCTGGACCAATCTCATGGGAAATGAAATAGCCCAAGAAAAGCTACCTCATAACCAAGGCTGGGTGGAGGGGGGCGGGGCGCTCCAGGATCCAAGTTTGAGTGTTCAAAAGAATTAAGAATGCATTTACAGAAAACCCAAAGGCTTTGATTTTATGCTTAGATTAGGAAACGCCGAATGCCACACACGATCCTGTGAGGAATTTTAACAGAACCCTGGCGGAGGGCAAATGCCAAATTAACCATCTCTGTGTGAGATTCAGAGGTGCAGCTGCCCCCCTCCACAGTGCCGTGTGGAGGCAGAACAGGAGAGGGGATACCAATGGTGGAGAAATGACAGAAGCTGTCATTTTCAGTCATGCCACCACATGTGAGGGAAGTGCACAAGTGCCTACAGTTAAATGGTGCCAAACACATGATTGATGTAGAAACTGGATTTTCTGCAAGCCAGGGACAAAATGGAAAACTTAAAAGATCTTTTCAATAACAAAAAAGGTCAACTAGGAAAAATAAAATGAAAAAAAAAATGTAAGAGTCAGGCAGACCTCATGGTTTATGCCTGTAATTCCAGCTATGGGACGTTAGAGGGAAGATTGGAGTCCAGGGCAAGTGCAAGTAGCATGAAATTCTATCTGTAAATCAAACTACAGGCAAAGAGCTAGGGCAGGAGTCCTGGAGTCCCCTCCACCCCCAGTACCACATGGGAGGAGGAGATTTGCCCAATCTCTGCCTGTCTTCACATAGGGTTTCTCCCCACTGCACTCCCTCTTCAACACCTGTCACAGTAGATTGGGACCTCCTTCCTCTAGGGACCTTATTGTTGCTAACTTTATACCTGCAGTGACCCTGTTCCAGGGATCTTGAGGTACTGGGACTTAGGCCTTGAACATACACCATGGCCTGTGTGTCGTGTCCAGCTGTGCAGCCCCGGGCACCAGGAAGTGCATTCTGATGCCAAGTGCACAACTGAGAGGTGGTACTCCACAGGGCCTGTGTGAACAAAGAACACCAGGGCTGTCAGCCTAAACCTTGGAGAGCTTGGGGTAAAGCCAAGCACTTGGAGCCTGCCGGCCATCCACACGGTATAGATCTTGTCCCAGGACCAGGTTGGGTCTTTGTGTTCTGCCACTTGTCGGGTGCTTCTTTTCTTCCATTTCCAGATCCAAAAGTTCCAGTGTCTCGCAGACATTTCTGGAACCCACTAGTGGAAGAGTGTGCCCCTGAATGAAGCTCCACAAAACCCGCTCTGGCTGGCAGCGGTCACAGAGGTCTGCAGGGGCCTTTTCCCATAATGCACTACAAGTGCTACCTCCTGGCCCTGCCCGTGTGGAAATGGATGCCATGGTAATCTCCCAGGACTTAGATGAAGCATGCAAGTCGGTCTTGTTTGCAAGCAAAGGTAACTCTTACTGTAAAGGTAACTCTTGGGA